GACCCCTCATCTGCCCCGCTGCCCAGGACGCTTCCCACAATGCACCATGCCGTTTCACAGTCGGCGGATGGAAGAGTGTGTTGTGTTGCCATGTGCACGCGTGTGTTGTTGTAGGGAGGGGTGGAGAGGGATTACAGACGGAGAGATTTAAAGAGGTGAGGGCCTTTTAATATCATCCCACAGAGATGGAATGAGTCAGCGCTCTCTCTCCCTCTCTCTCTTGTCGGGGGAAGCGATTCATTATGGGGAGAACGTGGAGCCGTGGGAGAGCCGTTTAGAGGAGTTCAGCTTTCACTCGCCTCTCGCCTGGCTCGCCTCCAGGCTGCAGTGGAGCTGTGACTCCTGCTGCTTCACCTTCTCTTATATGAACTATTCCCACTTCAAATCGACCCCCACACACCCCATCCCCTATCCCCCACCTATGCCCCACAGTGGGGGGGGGGGGGGGGGCCCCACTGTGGGGCAACCAGCCGACAGGTAGAGGCAGCCTGGGGACGAGCTCCCCTGCTGGGTCACACATTTACACACATTTACACACACACGCACACACACACACACACGCATATGCAAGCACACACACATGCTGCCCTTTCTTTCACAATATCCAAAGTAAAAAAACACTTTGCATGCATATGCAAATGCTTACACACACACACACACACACACACACACACACACACACACACACACACACACACATCTGCATGTATGCAGAATGCCACATGGTGGTTAACTGGTGGTCTCCATGCAATGTTTATGTAAATGGCTCTCAACAGAAGATCTAAATGTGTTCTGATAGCTCTTACTAGGCTGTCTATCTATCTAGCCTGACCCTCACACCAGCACCACACAGCCACACATCTCATCTCCCACAGGCCCCAGCAATCCAGGAAACTGTCAACAGTCTACTGTGTGCATAGTGTATCATTTAGCGGGGAAACATAGGCTGTCTCGTCTGTCCCACCCTTATCTTATCTCCTCTCCCCTTCCCTCCCCCCTCCTGGTCAGCGCCTCGGCCAGGCAGGAGTCAGGTCAGGTGAGTCAAGTTGTGGAGACAGACTGGTGTGTAGACAGACTGGTGTGTCGGCGGTTGTGCAAAAAGAAAGAAAGCCGCTCCCTGCTGGCTTCCTGCCTCCAGTGTGGAGTTATTTCTGAGGTTATTGATGTACACTCCAGCTGGGAGCTCTCCGAACAACTAGCCTGCCTGCGAGTCCGGCTCCCCGCTCATTAAGTTCTAATTGATTGTAATGTTGCTTTTGAGAAGTAGTGAGCCCGCTATGGGGTTGTTCTGCACATGCCCTCGTCCCCCACCGACCCTTCCACTTGTCCGCCTCACTCACCAGCAGGGTCCGAGACGCAGACACAATCGGCCCTCTTAGATGGAATCATTAAAGCGGGCAGTTTCATACAGCACGCTTCTGAAGACCAGCTTGAGACCAGGGACAGTTGCCACTCTGCCTGCACAGTGGGAGAGCCCCATCCTGGGCAGGCTATTGTTGCCCGCTCCCCTTGACTGGCTGCCTGTGGTTCCGGCGGCAATGGCTTGATTTGTATGCCAAGATCCAGGACTAAAGGCAGCTATGCAGGGGAGCTGGGTCAATATTGGTTTTGAGAGCATGTGGAAAAATGTCAAAATGTTAAATTCTATTGACATCCCCCCACTGCTGTTTGTTTCTGTGGCGAAAGGCCTATTGGGCCATTAGTGTAAACAGGGCTTTGTCTTAGGGATCAGCTTCCAGCAGGCATCTCACAGAGCAAAACCTACAGATAAAGATTCACGTCTGGCTTAAGAAACAGATCATCAGCGGGGCTCAAGGAAGAGGAATAAAAAGACTGGAACTGCTATCTTGGCCCTGCTATCATCATTGTGGTGAAATGTCCACCTCATTTCAAATAAAATCTCAGGGTTTGAGTTGTAATACTCATAATGCAGATTATACTGATAATGTGCCTTTTTGGGACTTGAGACTTGATGCTTTAGCTTTTGTAACAAAGTGACATGGTAGCGGTGATAGCCGGTCTGACAACAAATCAAGTCCTTTTTTTATATTTTATCACCGTTTTGCTTTCAATGCCTGCTGCAAAGGCTGCCATTTTTATTGGAAAAATGTCTAGACTTATAGCAACATTGCCCCCTCCAAGCTTCTTCCTCTTCTGTGTCCTTGTCGAGACGTCCTCTGGGTTATTGTGAGCATCTGCTTTACAAGGCAGCATCCTTCCTTCTGCCTGCAGCTCTTCCCTGTCTCTTTCAGCCCTGTGGGAATACGGGATTCTCTTCCAAATCACATCAATTAACACAGAGCCGTAAAAACGTTCCTCCCCCTGCGTTTCAAACACACTGCTTTCCTCCCTCCCTCTCTCTCTCTCTCTCTTTCTCGCTCTCTCTCTTTCTCTCTCTCACTCTCTCCCCAGCTTTCTCCTTCCTGACTTTTATCCATTCCTTTTCTAACTTTATTAGACTTGGCTTTTGTGTGCCACTGGAGCAAGTCACTTCCTCCTGGGGCAGACAGTGGTGGGGGGTTGCCCGGATCTTCTGAAGTGGTGAGATATAAGAAGTGCCTTCAGGGTTAACTCTCTCTCCTCTCTCTGCATACTTTCTCCAGAGACCATAAAGTGAGATTATGTGAAATGTGACTATCACATTTAGAATTGAGGCACTGAATAAGAAACAGGGCTTGTACATCAGCATCATGGGTTTTTTTGTTGTTGATATTCCACCATATTGAAAGGACTCAAGAGAGTTGTAGCACTGTAAAATCCGATGTCAATGTAAATATACTGTAACCTAGGCTAATGAAAATGTTGTTTTGCCACGTCTCACATGAGACATTATGTGGCAGTTTCAAACACAATGTCTCCCCATAATGCCAAACATTTCATGGTTCGTTATGAAACAATGACCCAAAAGAACATTACTACTAACATAATAACTACCATTCCAATGCTCTGCTCCCAAAATGGCGGCGGCCATTGCGATGTGACTTTGCAATGTACAAGCCCTATATCACTCCAATTATTTTTGTGGGTTAGGTTTAGGGTTAATTGCCATAACAATACATGTGAGCTACAAGTAGGGGTTGATAGAAAACAACTTTTGACACCTACCTAACTGTGTTTACTCCGCTGCCAGAGCTAATGGACTGCTTAGCCTGGTTTTGCCGTGCAGACAATGAGCGTGCCTTAGGTCACACGTTACTGCAAGGTGACACATTTTACTCATTGAGCAGTTGGAGTTCGCAAAAAAGGCGTGAACGATCACCAATCTCCTCACGCCTTGTTATCAACCACACCGTAAAGTAGTTGAACAAAGTTTGCTTAAGCGCATCTACTTCACAAGCAAACAAGTTTTCCATTGGCTTGTGCATGTTGACATCATTTATTTCACCTAATTTCCTGTTCAAACCATTGCAGGGGGGACTAAATACCTAAAAGGAAAACTGTGTGAACCGGACTCCCTCCAATCTAAACAAAAATGTCTGTGTCTCAGATCATTTGACCTCTCTCGGGCATTGCTGTTTCAAAGAGAGAGGTCAGGTCACTGGGCCAGCCATCTCACTGTGTCTCTGGACACCTGGACACTGAACAAAGACAGACCTGTTCCACGGCTACGTCCAACAATAGTGCTGCTAAAACCGTCCCCTCTCCGTGTCGACGGCCTGTTTACTCGGGCAGCTTAACCCGACCCCTCACATCTAGTGAACTATTTTAAGCAAGTGTGTGGCTCTGTGGCGCAATGGATAGCGCGTTGGACTTCTAGTCATCCATTTGAGATGTGATTCAAAGGTTGTGGGTTCGAGTCCCACCAGAGTCGGTCTTTTTGGCAACTCCTTTTAGGAGTATAAAAACGTAACAATCATTTTGTCTTGTATGGCAGTATATTTATTAAGCATGTTTTATTGAGTGTTATACTTTGTTATATACGTTGATTTTACTTTGAGAACACTACACAACCTGTATCTACAGAAGTCAATTATGCAATTTCAATTAAGACTTGGTTAACGACTCCGGTGGGACTCAAAACTGAATGCACAACCTCTGGTAGGAGCTGTACTTTTGTTGGATGTAGCAGGAGAAAGCTTTCTGACTTTGTTTTGGGCTCAGGGACACAGTGATGAAGTAGTCAACTCAATTATGAAGGTAGTATACTTATTCACTTTTATGAACACTATACTACTATACTACATTGATTATACCTCAAGACTATGATCATAGAGAATTATGTGGCTTCCATAAAGAGCAACTCTGGTGGGACTCGAACCCACAACCTTTGAATCACAACTCACATGAATGACTAGAAGTCCAACGCGCTATCCATTGCGCCACAGAGCCCCGTGAAGGTGCTCTGTGCATGCTGCCATCAAGACTACTAAACAAGTCATTGAGCCTTCACTGGCTTCACTGGTACAAACAAATCTGTGTGTAAACCACTTATTTGGTTAACTTAACAAACATATCGTCTGTAATGGCAGTATATATATTAAGCGTGTTATGAAAAATCTACATAGGTTGTACTTCAAGAACACTACATAACCTGTAACTACACAAATCAACTATACAATTTCCATTAAGAACAACTCATGCATATGACCAAATCTGTGCCACTTATTTGGTTAAGTCTTTAGTATATTTATTAGCTGTTCTTTAACAGTACATTTCATTGATTATGCAATGTCCTTAAAGGTGGGACTCGAACCCACAAACTTTGAATCACATCTCACGCCATTGGGGTGCCACAGAGCCCCATTAAATCTACCATTGCACATTCCTGTCTCGATCTGTCTCTCTGTGGATCTGAAAGCAGGAGCTGATTCATTGATTATGTCCTTAAAAAGAAACTCAAACCCACAACCTTCGAATAACATCTCAACAGGATGAGAAGTCTGTGTGACATGCTTAAATAGCATTAAGAACAATGTAATGTATGTTTCACTTCAAGAACTCCACAGAACAGATGTCAACATCAGTACACATTCATCTTCGTCAATGATTTCCTTAAATAACAACTCTGGTGGGACTCGAACCCACAACCTTTGGATCACACCTCACACAGAAAGCACAATCCATTGTGCCACAGAACCTCGGGAAAACCTGTCTCGATCTGTCTGTGGATCTGAAAGCATGAGCTGTGCTATCGTTGGATTTAGCAAGATGCGCTATCCATTGCGTTATCTGTGCGTCAACCATTTATTGGGCAGTATATTTATTAACTGTTCTATAGCAATATACATTGATCTTCATCGATGACTATGCAATCTTCTTAATGAGCGATTCTGGTGGGATTCGTCCACACAACCTTTGAATCACATGGATGACTAGAAGGCCAATTCGCTATCCATTTGAGAAGTGATTCAAAGGTTGTGGGTTCGAGTCCTACCAGAGTCGCTCTTTATGGACTTTGCATAATTATCAATAAGTAGCCAGAGTCTCTCTTTTTGGCAACTGGTTTCAGACATATAAGAACTTAACAAACATATCGTCGGATATATATATATATATATATATATATATATATATATATATATATATATATATATATCCGATGATATGTTTGTGTGTTAAGTGTGTTATGAAAAATTGGTTGTTCTTCCAGAACATTACAAAAAAGGGCAATCATGGTAGGCTCTCTGCATATGAACAAATGTGTGCCACTTATATGGTTATGTCTCTGGCCGTACATGTATTAACATTACACATTGATCTTCATTGATGATGCCCTTGAAGAGCAACTCGAACCCACAACCTTCGAATAACATCTCAAATGTATGAGAAGTCCGTGTGAGATGCTTATATAGCATTAAGGACAATGTAATGTATGTTTCACTTCAAGAACTCTGCAGAACAGAAGTCAATTATGGAATTTCCATGAAGAAAGACTCTGGAAAGACACACAGTGCCACTTCTGCTTGGTATCAGTACACATTGATCTTTTCCTTAAATATCGACTCTGGTGGGACTCGAACCCACAACCTTTGAATCACACCTCACATGGATGACTAGAAGTCCAACGCGCTATCCATTGCGCCACAGAGCCTCATGAAAACCACCATTACACATTGCTGTCTCGATCTGTCTGTGGATCTGAAAGCATGGGCTTTGCTATCGTTGGATTTAGCAAGAGCGACTCTGGTGGGACTCGAACACAACCTTTGGCATAAGTCTTTGGCAGTTGTTGGAAACTGTTCTATAACAATAAACATTGATCTTCATCGATAACATCCTTAAAGGGTGACTATGGTAGGCCCTCCGCATATGAACAAATTTGTGCCACTTATATGGTTAGGTCTTTGGCAGTATATTTATAAACCGTTCTTCATTGATGATGTCCTTAAAGAGCTTTGAATAACATCTCAAATGGATGAGAAGTCTGTGTGAGACGTGAGGAATGTTCCTGGAAGGCCACACAGCACCACTTTTCTTTGGCATCGTTAGACATTGATCTTCATCGATGATTTCCTTAAATATCGACTCTGGTGGGACTCGAACCCACAACCTTTGAATCACACCTCACATGGATGACTAGAAGTCCAACGCGCTATCCATTGCGCCAAAGCGCCACAGAGCCTGTTGAAAACCACCTTTGCACATTGCTGTCTCGATCTGTCTGTGGATCTGAAAGCATGAGCTGTGCTATCGTTGGATTTAGCAAGATGCGCTATCCATTGCGTTATCTGTGCGTCAACCATTTATTGGGCAGTATATTTATTAACTGTTCTATAGCAATATACATTGATCTTCATCGATGACTATGCAATCTTCTTAATGAGCGATTCTGGTGGGATTCGTCCACACAACCTTTGAATCACATGGATGACTAGAAGGCCAATTCGCTATCCATTTGAGAAGTGATTCAAAGGTTGTGGGTTCGAGTCCTACCAGAGTCGCTCTTTATGGACTTTGCATAATTATCAATAAGTAGCCAGAGTCCCTCTTTTTGGCAACTGGTTTCAGACATGTAAGAACTTAACAAACATATCGTCGGATATATATATATATATATATATATATATATATATATATATATATATATATATATATAATGTTCTGGAAGAACAACCAATTTTTCATAACACACTTAATATATATATATATATATATATATATATATATATATATATTAAGTGTGTTATGAAAAATTGGTTGTTCTTCCAGAACATTACAAAAAAGGGTGATCATGGTAGGCCCTCTGCATATGAACAAATGTGTGCCACTTATGCCGCGTTTCCACCGGCACGGTACGGCGCGGCACGGCACGGCACGGTATTTGCGTGTTTCCACTAGCACGTAGTACCTAGTATCAGGTACTACGATGGTACCGCATCGGCGCTGGTTCCAAGCCAGCCGAAGCGGTACTATAACGTGACGTCAGCCGACTGCCTTCCACTGATTGGCCGACGAGTGTCGTCACTGGGAGCATCATAAGCGCGCGACGACCGACCAGACATAAATAAACACGAGACTCGACCACACCACTTTTTAAAACCCCGCTGCTCTTCTACAAGAAAATGACCTCACAAAAAAACACGCCATGGTCGGTCGACGAGGTCCAGACGTTCCTCTCTTTTTTTTGTTTTCTCTCGGTTTTGTGCGTGGCTTGGCGCGGTGTAAATGACGTCACGGCAGTTTTGCGCAGCCGTGTTATGACGACCCCGCCCACGTCGAGGAGGTACTATATGGTACTCAGTTGTAATGGAAACAGACCCGAAAAGTACTATGCCGTGCCGTGCCGTGCTGTGCCGTGCCATACCGTGCTAGTGGAAATGCGCCATTATATGGTTATGTCTCTGGCCGTACATTTATTAACATTACACATTGATCTTCATTGATGATGCCCTTGAAGAGCAACTCGAACCCACAACCTTCGAATAACATCTCGAATGTATGAGAAGTCCGTGTGAGATGCTTATATAGCATTAAGGACAATGTAATGTATGTTTCACTTCAAGAACTCTGCAGAACAGAAGTCAATTATGGAATTTCCATGAGGAAAGACTATGGAAAGACACACAGTGCCACTTCTGCTTGGTATCAGTACACATTGATCTTTTCCTTAAATATCGACTCTGGTGGGACTCGAACCGACAACCTTTGAATCACACCTCACATGGATGACTAGAAGTCCAACGCGCTATCCATTGCGCCACAGAGCCTCACGAAAACCACCATTACACATTGCTGTCTCGATCTGTCTGTGGATCTGAAAGCATGGGCTTTGCTATCGTTGGATTTAGCAAGAGCGACTCTGGTGGGACTCGAACACAACCTTTGGCATAAGTCTTTGGCAGTTGTTGGAAACTGTTCTATAACAATAAACATTGATCTTCATCGATAACATCCTTAAAGGGTGACTATGGTAGGCCCTCCGCATATGAACAAATTTGTGCCACTTATATGGTTAGGTCTTTGGCAGTATATTTATAAACCGTTTTTCATTGATGATGTCCTTAAAGAGCTTTGAATAACATCTCAAATGGATGAGAAGTCTGTGTGAGACGTGAGGAATGTTCCTGGAAGGCCACACAGCACCACTTTTCTTTGGCATCGTTAGACATTGATCTTCATCGATGATTTCCTTAAATATCGACTCTGGTGGGACTCGAACCCACAACCTTTGAATCACACCTCACATGGATGACTAGAAGTCCAACGCGCTATCCATTGCGCCAAAGCGCCACAGAGCCTGTTGAAAACCACCTTTGCACATTGCTGTCTCGATCTGTCTGTGGATCTGAAAGCATGAGCTGTGCTATCGTTGGATTTAGCAAGATGCGCTATCCATTGCGTTATCTGTGCATCAACCATTTATTGGGCAGTATATTTATTAACTGTTCTATAGCAATATACATTGATCTTCATCGATGACTATGCAATCTTCTTAATGAGCGATTCTGGTGGGATTCGTCCACACAACCTTTGAATCACATGGATGACTAGAAGGCCAATTCGCTATCCATTTGAGAAGTGATTCAAAGGTTGTGGGTTCGAGTCCTACCAGAGTCGCTCTTTATGGACTTTGCATAATTATCAATAAGTAGCCAGAGTCCCTCTTTTTGGCAACTGGTTTCAGACATGTAAGAACTTAACAAACATATCGTCGGATATATATATATATATATATATATATATATATATATATATATATATATATATATATATATATATATATATATATATATATAATGTTCTGGAAGAACAACCAATTTTTCATAACACACTTAATATATATATATATATATATATATATTAAGTGTGTTATGAAAAATTGGTTGTTCTTCCAGAACATTACAAAAAAGGGTGATCATGGTAGGCCCTCTGCATATGAACAAATGTGTGCCACTTATATGGTTATGTCTCTGGCCGTACATTTATTAACATTACACATTGATCTTCATTGATGATGCCCTTGAAGAGCAACTCGAACCCACAACCTTCGAATAACATCTCGAATGTATGAGAAGTCCGTGTGAGATGCTTATATAGCATTAAGGACAATGTAATGTATGTTTCACTTCAAGAACTCTGCAGAACAGAAGTCAATTATGGAATTTCCATGAAGAAAGACTCTGGAAAGACACACAGTGCCACTTCTGCTTGGTATCAGTACACATTGATCTTTTCCTTAAATATCGACTCTGGTGGGACTCGAACCCACAACCTTTGAATCACACCTCACATGGATGACTAGAAGTCCAATGCGCTATCCATTGCGCCAAAGCTGGGGAACAATAGTCTTTTAAGGGGGGGGAGGAAAGAGGAAAAAGGGGAAGAAGGGGGGAAGAAGAAAAGGGAGAAAAAAGAGAGGAAAAAAGGAGAAAAAGGGGAAAGGGAAGGGAAAGAGAGAAATTGAGGCTTCTTTTACATTTTCCACCTATTCAATTGTTTTTATTCATTAGAATGAATTAAAAAACAATAAAAAACCTTTTGTTGACCAGTTTTGTATGGAGTTGGAGTGGATCAGAAGGTCACCGGTTCAAGTCTCACCAGTGGCAAACAAAATATTTTCTTTTTGGTGATTTTATGGATGTATTTAGGATCTCTTGCGTAAATATAAACATCCTTGTGCCATATTTCATGCCATATC